CTGGAGCAGATCGAGATTTACTTCAGAGGTATACAAAGGAAATGATCAAAGCGGGAGACTTCAAAAACATCAGAGCCCGATTCCCTGAACTGATCAACCCAAGTGAATTGCCGTCATCAAGTCGACAACTATTTCAAGGAGTCGATGGATCGGGTATCGGAAGAAATGAAGAATTGATAGATCTCTCAGAAGAATTGAAAGAATTTAAACAAAACAATCCAGAGATCGTTCATAGAGAGGCTTGGATTTTTTCTGACGCTGTACTTGCTTCTCCAAGATGCGATGATCCCATGATTTGTGTTCAGTACTGGTTACCTTTTGTGAAGGATATGAAAACTGAAAAGGGGGTTGAAGCGCTCGGGGCTCCTTTGGCTGAAGAGCTATTCAACAAACTTGTAGATTTGGCCGATAAGAAGACAAATGGTAGATTAATCAACACCTCACCAGACGCAGCTTCCATTTTTCTACGAAAGACCTTTGGTACCTACTTTGATGAGAATTCGATTCTTGAAGAAAAGCGTATCAGTTTACTTCAAGCCATACACAAGAATTTAAATACCTTAAACAAACCTGATGTCACCCTGGGCCTCAAGTATTACGACAAAAATCCTTTTGATCACTTTCCGGGTCTCAAAAATGTAGATGATTTTAAAGAAGCTCGTAAGTTGTGTTTTATGAATGAGGCCCTTGGCTTATCTGCTGAAATTGATGTTTACTTGTTTGAAACTCTCAAGGTTCTGGTCTGATTCCAGGAAATTCTGCGGACAAGGAGATTGTGGAGAAAGCTAAACTCTTGGATTGCCTTGAATTTGCTAGAGTTGGTACATCCTGGATTTGTAAAAGGTTCAAAAATTAACTTGGTTGATCCGAATTGATTGCCGAAAGAAGTATAATGAGAAATCAGGATCAAAGAATTCAAGGAGAAAATCCTCAGTGTTGCCGTTTTTTAATGGGTTCAAAGTGTTACATACATCCCCGGTCAGGAAACGGTTCAGGCTGGGTAGAGAATGTAAGGAAGTGTATTTACACCAAAATACTCTAGATCATATGAGTGAACTGTAAGCCATGCGCCTCGGGCTTTGATACGTTTGTCAACAAGGTTTCTTTCAATTTCACATGCACTTAAGCAATTTCTGGTGAGAAATCACATTCTGCAAAATTTAAAGTGTTTATTTGGTGGTATATGTTTCATTTTTGCATTAAAAAAAATTACAGAATGTGATGTCTGGTCAGCAATTCCTTAAGTGAACGTGCCCTAAATCTCTTTCACCACCTTCATGATCTGATAGCCATCTAAAGACCTATAGAAACAGTCTTCAAGGCATTGGAAACCCAACAAGTTCAACTTGATTTTGTTTTCATGAAACTTATACCACAATTTAGCCAACAAAGTCCCCTTACTTGAATTTCCACTGATTCAATTAAATTCAGGGTGAAATCAAACTTACAAGAATGAATATACATTCTCACCTTTTACTTACTGTTCTGAGACTGTATAGAGAGAGGTACCATACAGTCAATTTCCAAAAACCTTGACCAACTTTGCCCACAAAACTCCAAGAAAATTGGCAAGGAATTTCTAACAAGCTTTTCTAAGTTAACTTGACTACATCTTGTTTGTTTTGTGATCAAGATTTACAATTGGATTCTTTTGAAGAATTCAATATCTAAGAGCTGATGATCTGATCCTCAAAACATAGTTATCCTCATACTTTCCAAAGACCTTACATAAGTTCAAAAAAGATATCTTCCTTTTCAATGATCTCATAAAATATACTTCAGTGTAAAATAGTAATCCCATGAACACCAAAACACTATGTAAAAGGCAAATGCAGAATTAAATTTATGAAAATCCATAATGAATTTTTACAAGAATTGAGAGAGGATTGAAATTTTTCAAAATCATCAAGAATAAGTTTGGATTTCATTTACTACAACTTATCATGGTTTGACTTATCTAACACAACAATGTCAGTTGATCAGGTCCTCATCTCAAACCCAACTTTTTACAATCCAAACCTGGAATCTGAATGATTCATTCATAGATTAAATTAGTTAAATTTGATACGAAAGGCAAGCTAGTTCTTCTCTATTACAATACATACTAACTAAGCTTTATTATTCATCTACATACCTCACCTACTTCATGAGTCCTCCATCTGCATTCAATAAATTCCATTTCCTCAATCCATCCAATCCAAAAACTTAATCACTCAACCCAATCCTACAACCCAACTAACTCAACCCAACCCAATCCTACCAATAAATAAATAAATCAAACCAATCCAATCACTTTTTAAGATCAAAACCTTTTCTTTGGTTCATTTTTTGTACTTTTCTTTTTAAAACTTTTTCATAAATCTTGACTTATCACTTCTTTACTTTAATTTATCAACCATCAAATACATTTTGAATCGGTTCAGGAGGGATCACACCAATCCCACTAGAAGCCGGTTTATAAGCATCTAATAAACCTTCTTTACCTTCATTTAACCAATCCTTTCGATCAACTCTTTGACCATACTCTTCCCTCTATAATAACCCCCCCAAAAAAGCCAAAAAAGATTCATTAGAATTTTACATTATGAAAAAACTTTGAAAAAAAGGGGGGGAAAAGATTTAAAAAGCACTCACCGAATCCAAAAACTCATGACAACTAAAATCCCAACTTCGAATCCATCTAGACGCTTCACACTCATTTCTAGTCCATTTACCAGCATACGTGATCGGATAAAACCTCCACCAATTCCAAACCACCAAACAAACCAACACACCCAACACTTTCCATCGATCGATTAACTTTAATTTACATGTTAAGATTTCAAAACTCATCGAACTTAATAAGATTGTATAATATAATGATGGAAAGTAATGGTGTAGGAATAATTGTCGGTTCATTAAGTAGAATGGTAAGTAATGGGTTGCCCAACCGATCGTTAGATAACTTCCGATCCCATCATATTTAGATAGTTTGGCTAGTTTCCAATCAATCCACCAACCAAATCAAATCAAACCAACAAGAAAATTTTCAGTTCTCTTTTCTTCAACTCATGCCACAGTAAACTTTGTTTTGATAATCGAAAAATCAATCATCACTTTGAATTGAGACACACTTACCATCATTCAAATCATTTCGATACCCTCTTTTCCTCCTCAAGACCAGCCCTAATTTCATCCCTCCAAATCCAATCAAACAACCCGTACTAATCCACCAAACAAAAGGATTCCCAAGTAAATAAACTTGTAAATGATCTTTTGCCCAACTAATTTCAATCACGAAACCAAAAAAAAATAACGAAAAAAAATCAAGAAATCAAACACCCATTTTTTTACTTTTGGATCATGTTATAAAAAAACCAATCCACTCCAAAAAAAAGACTTACAAATTGATCCCTCTTTTTAGGAATGGCCAATCATTCGGTCTTGAATCGTATGCATGATGATCTACTAAAGCTTGATTAGTTTGCCACATCACTTTTTGTAATTCCATAAACCTTTCCAAAAACTTGGGTTTTCTATAATTCACTTTTTCCGATTTAGAATCTTTTCTCACTTTAAAAAAAAAACATCACTGAAGTCAACTTTTTCAAATCAAAATTTTCCAAATCAAAACTTTCCAAAAAAAAAAAAACTCAATTTCATAAACTTACATCTTTCATGTTCATTAGTTTCAATATACCAAAGTGAATTAGCCAAAGTTGGATTCTTATTACAACTCACTTCTTGTTGATCAAACGCCCAAAAAGGTAACTTCACTCGATGTGAAAACAAATAACAATTCTGAAGTGGATGTCTTAATCGAAACTTGGTTCTTAAGGCTTTTAACCTTTTGCCTGATGATTTGTCTACTTTCAAATCTGATTGTTTACTAACTATTTCTACTATCCATTCATCATTTGCATCACCTGGTTTTTCATCAACACAAACAGATCCGAATTTCGGTTTAGTTTATAATTCATTTGGGGGTACTTTTGGATCAAAGAAATACTCTTACCTGGAAATCCTGGAAACCCATAACATGAAACTTCGTTTTGATAATCCACATCAGTCACCGGAGCTCTAACATCATGAGTATGTAATTTCTTATTCGTAAGCGTATGTTGAAGTCTAATGATCGAAGTATGATTCACAAAGACCGACTGATGATTATAAAACGATAGATCTCTCGACTGCTGGGGATCTCCAATCAACGATTCATCCGAAAGTCTACCCAAGATGGTCCAAAGATTATTGGAATCTGAATGAGGATAGAGTGTGATCTGTTGTTGTTTAGAACCAGTAGGATAATACTGTGAATGAGAATGTAAATAACCTCCTTGAGTGTTGGTATGACGAATGGTCACATTCGATCCGATCATCACATCTGCATACGTATCACTCATTCGATGACCTCTAAGAGTATGTTGAAACTCTGAACTCATAAACGGATCTCCATCACCTGATCCAGATAAGATCCAAAGATGAACTTGAAAGATAAACAAATAAAATCCAATCGGAACGATCACCAAAGCCATCACTCTAGCCATAAAATATCTTGCAAGTAATGGGATCGGCACCCTTAGATCTCCCATCAAATTCCAAAGCTGTTGAATCGTAACTAATCCAATCGTAGCGATCGTAAAGAATCCAACCCATTTCGTCGAAGCTACGGCTCCTAAACTCAAACCGGTTAACAATAACCAAATCCACCATCGTTTGGTGAACCCTCCTCTCTTGGAATCTTCGTAACAAAAACCCGTATGAAAGAAGATTGTCAAAGTCGTAAAGAACAGTAAGGGTGAATCAAGTAAGATGAAGCGAGATTGAACTATCAATCCGTTTTCGAAAATGATCATTAAGGATCCTAAGAGACATGACATCGGTTTGAGCGTTAACATCCTCATGGTTAAATAAGAGATCGGCACAATCAAGGCTCCTAGACTAGCTGGTAAAAGTCTCATTTGAACATATGGTACATTTCCTGTTAAATAATCACTGATCATAAATTTGTTGGAGTTAATTAGAAGATGTGATTTGGTTTGAAAACTATCGGAAATGGAATTCATACCTTCCTATATCTCTAAAATTAAAATTCCCCTTGTACCCATTAATCCAAGCAACAAGAGTGATCAAAAGTTTTCCAAGTGGTGGATGTACATCCATAAAGAATCTCGACTTGATATACTTTGAAGCGAATCCACCGAAATGAACTTCATCAAACCTAAAATCAAAAATATAAAAAAAAATGAATTCATTGATGAGAAAGTATGGAAACAGATGAGGTTTACAATCAATCGATCGATCGAAAAAAAAAAAGACTTACACTACACTAGAAGGTCTCCAAATTGCCCAAGTTCTAATCAAGAAAGCCAAGATGGTAAGACAAATAAGAATCTTAGATTCATGTTTTGAATCGAGTTGATGTAAACCACCACCGAATGAATTCCAAAAGGAATGATGATTTGATAAAGTTGAATTTGTTTTTTGAGATTGATGATTGACTAACCAACCTTTAGTATAGTTTGTAGAAGAAGTAGGATCTGATTTAAAGTAAGATGGTGATATTATATTTTGATCTTGGTTTGATGAGTTTGACCAAGGTGTTGGATAAATGTAAGGTGAATCTAATCTTGTTGAAGTTGAAGTTGAAGTAGTACTGGATGTTTTGTGTTGATTGGTTTGATAATTTGAAGTTGAATTGATTTCTAATAGTTTTTTGTGATTATGATGAATTCTAGATCGTAATGGTGGTAATGAAGGTGATCCTGAATTGAATTCTTGTTGTTGTTCTGGCTTGATTTCATTTTTCATGGTTTTGGTTTTTGGTTTTTGATTTGGTTGAGTTTGAATTGGATTGGGATTGGGTTTATTAGAAAAACTTTCAACTTTCTAATTTCCAGCACCACTTCACTCTGAATCTGACTCTGATTCTGAGTGAAGGGATGAATCCAACTAAACATTCTACAAAGGGATTCATCTCATCTAACTGACTCTCAACTCTTTAGAATCATAGAACGTCACCATAAAAAAACCTTCCAAATAAGTCAACTAATCAAAAATCACCAAAAACTTCATCAGATCCTGCCCTCAAAAGCCACCCATCATCTGTATGATAGTGATCTGATTCAGAAAAGAGTAGCCAAATTCTTGAGCTTCATCTCAGATTACATACCATTACAGTATGTACTCAAAATCAAAACTTCCCCAATAGATTTTGTCTTCTTTGAACCTTTCATAAACCATAAACTAATCCAGCTACTACATAACCCATAATACAACCTCACTCCTCTTGATTTTCACCCTTTAGTCTTCGCTCGCAATGTACTTCCCACTTCACTTCCATCGATCGACCAATCTCAAATACTCTTCAGTTCATCAATTTCTAATTCTTTACATCACTCTTTTGTATCACAATATTATATTTAATGTTCTCTTACCAAAACCAAATATGATTCTTTCAAATTCAACTACAAGAAACCTTATTGAAATCTTCTTGACCTTTTCATGTAATTAGGTACTCCTTCCTCATTCTCTCTTTCCATTCACATTCTTCAATCAAGATTACTTTCTATAACCCAAACCGAAACCTGACTTCTTAAATAAATCTTAATTAAATCTCAAGTATAAAACTTATATATACAAAAACTAAAATCAAACAAGTTCAATCTCTTGAAGTTTTTTAAAATAAAAGAAAATCCATAAGAAATCGTAATACAAATCAATGAATCTTGTGTTCCCGTTCAGTATCTGTTTGAGTTTGGAATTTATAATGAAGTGATACATATGATAAATAAAACCTCCTGAGTTTCAAACTGTTTGTTAAATGATATCAAACAAAAACCAATTTTTTTCTTTGATGACTATGGTGTTGAAGACATTGAGCTGTGAAGGAATTTCATCAAGACAGGTCGTTAAACAAGTCAATAAATCAATCTTAGGGTCCCCCTGACCATCGGGCCATCCGACTGAGTCTGTACACTTTGCCATGTTTTTTCCGGATTACGTAACGGATAAAATGTCTTGAAGAGATCTGGTTTGAGAGTATGAATACAAGAGATCTTAATGGGTGGGACCCTCTGAGTCTGAGTCTGATTACGCATTGCAGTTGGTTAACTCATCAACTCAATCTCGATCCATAAGACTTCAAAGACAATATCTTTCCATGTACGGGGATGTTTCTTGATGAACATAAATTTTTCTATGAAGTAGTTCATCATAAAATGATAAATGTTTGAAAGAAGGGGTTTTTCTCCTCAGCAAATAAATTTCAATATCTTTCCATGTGTAATGAACATAGATATTTTTTTGAAGCAGTGCATCATAAAATGATCAATGTTTGAGAGAAATGTTTTTCAAAAAAAGGTTTCAAGAGAATTTGTGGCTGTAGGCTACCCTATAAAAAATTATTTCTCTTCCAAATCACTCAACATCATTCAAAACCCAAAGATATTCTTCTCCTTCGAGTTCTTTGGTCCTCGTCATGATGAAAAGCTTCTTCAGTAGTATAATTATCCTTTCAATCGTATTTTCATCTGTAATGTCACTTGAAATGGAAGATCGTGAGTCTTCACTAAGAGTCAGACAGACATTTTAGTGATCAAAGAATCTCATCTTAAAAATATACTGAAACCTATAGCCAGACTCGATTATGCTTGTGCTAAATTCAACAAAGGAGTCTTTAGCCCAGGAATCAGTACTTTTAATCAAGACCGCGAACAAGCAGAGTCATTGGTCTCCACCAACGCCGTGGTCGAAATAATAAAAGACTTGAAAGACTATGACACTGTTTCACGCCCTGGTGAGTTTGCATTTTGTATTACAAACCTAAATGGTTTGGTGGAAGGTGTATTGTATGGTGAAAGCTGATGAACTTTAATCATTCACTCAAAAGAGAGACTCACCGTTTCATTCCAAGGTGAGTTTGTATCCCGTATCACAAACAAAAACTACTTGGTGGAAGTTGTATGGTAAAAACTGATGATCTTTAATCCCATATTGGAATTATCGGTCTGATCGAATAGATTTTTTCCACAACCATGCAGGTAAATATAGAGACACCAACAGTAGGATACGTAAGTTTTCATTAGACACTCGAAATAACTATATATAAAAGTCATCCAAGCATAATTCATTCAACTGAGATTTCTTTTAACAGTTAACAAGGTACAAGACGGGAATGATGTGAAGGTAATTTATTCCATGAAATGTCCACCTTTACGACGTGAAAAGTCTGTTGTGTTTCGAGACACACCAGATGGGAATATAGAGGTAGTTAAAGTCACATTAATTTGACTGATCAACTTCCAAGAAATGTGAATTCGAAAACATTATAAAAGTGTCAATGAAGATATTTAGTACTATGTAAAGTCAAGTCTGCTCCAGCACTTCTTAAGATGTCTTGTAAAAACAAATGATCAGTTGATCTTAACAAATATTTCATGAAGATTTTCTTAACCTCTCATTAACCGCAATCTGAAATATGCATTACCTTCTTCATACTTGCAATATCTATAAGTCATTGTTGATTGTGGCACAGAAATGACACAATATTGGCAAGGATCAATTCATTTGGTATATCGAAATGAGACATCATAGTCTTCACCCAATCTACACAAATTGTGCTGGTTTGACAGCAAAGGGTAATGAGATGATACAGATCTCAGGAGATTCAATGACTTTGAAAAGTTGAGATGATTTTGTTTGCCCTAATACCATACTTGAGTACTACTTAAACCTGGTCCAGCTTCTCCTTCCCAAACCCAAAAGTTCAACTATTCCCCAATCTTTTTAAACAAATTTTGATTATCATTCATCATCTTAAATTATATAAAGAAAAAACATGCTCACATCTTAAATTTTCATTACTTTTTTTCTCTTGCCAATGAAGCACAAAAACTATAAAAAAGTTCACTAATGATGAAAAAAAACACTATCTTATAATATCTTTTTGAAAACCCTTCACATTCATTCATTCATTCATTCGATCCAACCAATTCACAATCAACATCATCACATAGAGTCTTACAAGAACCCCACAAAAAAATGGCTTCACAAAACTAAAACAAATCACATCTTTCTTGCACAAAAAAAAGTTTCATTTCTTCTTCTTTTTTTTCTAGATTTTAAGAATCAAAATCATACTCAAAAGAAGGTGGAAGATCTGCAATAGGTCCACTTAACAATCCCGAATCTTCATCCATACCTCCTGTACCACTACTCTCTTGCATTCCAACATCTTCAACTTGATTAGTCAAATTCTTAAGTGAAGTGAACTCTAAAAACTCTTCAGGTAAATCAGGTTGTTGATCTTTAACAATCAAAATCCCACCACCCGCTCCACTTGCTGCAAATTCGGCCATACTCAAAACTGTTTGAGCTACACTACTAATCGAACCGGTTCCTACTTTACTTAATGATTTAGATGAAGATGATCCAACGATCGGTCGGACTGGTACATATCTAGATTGATCTGGGAATGAAATGTATGATAGTTGCGTAGGTGTCACACGTGAGAGATTGTCTAATTTATCAAATGAAGCTTCTTCCTTTCTCCTTTTTGTCGCAGTTTTGCTTCCTAGACCTTGTGATCCACTCTTTGATGCTTCATTTGATGGTTCATCAATCTTCATCGCTTCTTCATTATGGAGCACGGCTGGGCTTTCAGGAGCCGGTGTCTACAAAGCTCAGAGACTCATCAACATCCATCCACCAACCTATAGAATCATGTCTACTTCACTTACCATCTCCATCTCATCTGCATTCAATTTGTCCTTCTTCGTCTTCTCTCTTGCTTTAACTTTAGCAGTAGTAGACAAAACGGCCGTTGCAACCTTTTCAACCTTTTCTGTCGTAGGTGGTGTAGTAGCTGGTTGGTAAGCAAACAGTGAAGGTCGTGTGTTGGATAAGAATTCGAATTTAGGCATCTAAAAACCCCTCCAAAAACATAATCTCAATCAACAAAAAAGCCAATTTCCTTCTAGTCTTTGTAAATATGGCATGAGACAAAAATACAATCAAACTCACTCGAAGTTCTTTATCAACACCAATAATCGCTGTTGGAGTAAAAGCAAGTGCCAAAGAATGTGCCATCGGAAACCAATACCAAAACTGATTAAAGAGAGCCATTCCAACGATCGCTGTCATATTATTACTTCCATTCTTACTCCTCATGGAAACAGTCACATTTCTTCCTCCTGCATCAATGATACCTTGTGCTAAAGTCGCTCCAAACTTAGCCATCGCATCTTCATGTTTATCTGAAATGATTTTCTCGAATATTTTTCTTACTGCTGATGCCTTGGGGTTTAAAACTTCATTTTGTTGAATTAGAATCATCGCTAGTGCAATACAAGCTCCTTGTTTAACGTAGTCGACTGTGTCCTTCGTCATGGGCTCTAATAATTCAATGGCTTCCTCCATTCCGGTTCCAGCGCAGGCAATCCCGAGTGCAAGTGCAGCACCGTACCGAACGTTTGGATTGTAACTTTCACTCAAGAGCTGTACCACTCGTGGAAGTTGACTAGGGTTTCGGAAAAGAAGAAATCCAAGTGATGTGACTGCTGCTCTTCGAACATCGTCATTCACATCTGAAACGGCTACATGCAGTAAACGTCGGATGGCTTTATTATTTCCTGTACCGGCATAGGCCATCGCTACCGTGTAGATACCACCGTATCGAAGGATAGGATCCTACGAGGTCATCAAATCACTCACTATCAGTTGACAGACAAACAAGCCAGGGCTATGGGATACCACAGCGATGGCGATCTTGCAACGTACCTTGTCAGACGTCAAGATCTCGATGATCCCATCCGCTGCCTCTTCCTTTGCGTAAAACAAGAGACTGATTCCAACCGCTAAACCACGAATGATCTTCTCGTGTTGAGTCTCATGAGCATATTGTAACATCTCATCTAGAGCTTTGCTTGACCCAGTACCTAACATCAAGAGTCCCATTGCATATCCTGCTGCTTCACCTGCGATAGCAGAGTCGTTATAGAGTACATCACGAAGATCATCATATACATCTATCATTCGTGACCGGACAATAAAACATTCGTTAGAAACACAAATGTTCTTACATTGACATGCATTTATGAGCCCAAGTTGGAAAGAATTGACACACCTTCATTGCCAGATGACATACCAGCCACTCCAAGACCCAGAGCAGCACCATGTTGGATAATCTCGCTATTACTATTCTTCATCAAATTTCTAATATAATCCAAAACTGTCGCTCCACCATGATTAGCGTTGATCAAACCGAGAGCAAAGAGACTACCTCCTTCACTATAAAAACTTGAACTCGCACCACCCGGTAAATACGGTTGTAAAATTTCCATCCCTTGTCTTAAATTTCCACGATGAATCACACCTAACCCAGCTGTGACTGAGAACTTACTCCAATTGCTTGCCTTACTAAGCCAATCTAAATTATCTCTTAGAAATTGATCAGATGTCGTACCTGCATTCGCAAATGCATTGGCAAAGCTAACAGCATTATGATAAAGTGAACTTCGACCGTCTAAGGCATCCTTGCTTTGTTTGAGGATGAGTAAGTCTGAATGATTATTTCGGTAAAGGAATTCTAAGTAAAGCTTAATTGACTCTTCTCCAGTGAGGATTTCACGTGCCCGGTCAATATGAGGGTTACTGCTAGACTGTTGGCGATCGTCAATTAGAAGAATGGCGTCAGTTATATAATAAAGCGAAGAAAATTCGACATGTGATATGGCCACATACTTTAGAACCCTCTGTCTGGATGGCTGTAGCCGTTGCCGATCCATGTGTACCTGCCAAATTCTTTCTGATCACTTCCAAGAACTCTTGTGTGGCAGTCTCAGCCAAATCGAAACATATTTGATAAGCAGTCAAGATATCATCATCCTTTGCTTCAGGTTTCAATAACTCCTTGAGCAATTGACTAGCCGGTTCAGGATCATTGAGGTAGACAAAACATTGAGTGATACTGAAGTAATCGGGTCCTGATTTCTGGGAAGTGAGTAGACGGACGAGAAGTCTGAGTAAATCATTTCTGAAAGACACCCGGGTGATAGCCGTCATACAAGCTTCCAAGAGATAGCTAAGCAGATTGTCTTCTTTAGTACTATAACGAGATGCAATCGACTCAATGATGTCTAATCGACGACTTTCTAATGCGATCCCCAAGGCTTGACGATATTCACCAGCTTCGATGCAACGATTAAACATTCTTTCAACTATTCCTGACATACGTGGATCGATAGCAGCAGGAGCGGAAGTCATCGAGTCCGAACTCGATTGTTCATGTGCGGTGGATAGAGTCACATAGGCGTCGATACATTCAGCTATGAGAAATCAAAAGTTAATCCAAGATCAAACTTTAGATTGTAGTGTTCAACTTTGAGTGAGAATGATATCCAACTTACAAACAACTGTCTCTACGAATTCACCATCTGTACCGATCGTACCCACTCGTTGAACTTCAAACCGATCACCAGCTCCTAGAGCAAATTGTAATGATTCGGCCAAATCTCCTAGGTGATAATAGACCTTTGAAGCTACTAGTGCAGCAAGAGAGCGGGTAGAAGCTGATAGTCGATCATCTTCGTAAAGTACTTCGCTGTAAGTAAAATCAAAAGGGTAAGTGATTGTTATGATGAGCTGAGTTGAGTTAGTGAGAAGTTAAGTTCTTGTGTTACATTTTTGAGATACCATCAGCTACTTCTGCCCAGAATTCATAAACGAGACTATCCAATTGTTGTAGAGCATAGGTTTTGAGTTCTACGTCATCCTCGTCCAAAAGAGTTAAAATACCTGTAAGAATGAATGAATTGAAATCAGTTTGACTTTCATTCTTGATTTATGTATCATAGAGACTAACCTGAAGCAGAAGTGACAGCGCTCATGATGTGATGTTGGTAATGATGATAGATTGATTTGAGTGATTGGTTTTATTGCTGATGATGGATTGGTAGTTTGAATGAGATCTATTTTCTTGCTGACCTTGATCGACGAATGCACAATCTGGAATGGGTGACGCGTTGAGTTGATTTAGAATACAAGCATAAACTAAAGTAACACTCAACTTCGTATGTAAACCCATAGCGATGCTTATATCCAAACTCTTCAAGTCATCCATCCACTCCGAATTTCAGTTCAGTCCTTCATCAACCAACTTCACAATCTCAAAAAAATGTCAAGCTTATTCTTCTCACGCTTACAACACATCATCAAACCAATAACAAAATCATTAACTCAATCAACTCATAATGTAAATTTAAACTTAACAAAACCTTTCATCTCAAATCAATTCATCAATCAACATCAACTTAATCTTGGTCATAGAGGTATGAAAGTTAGATCAAGTGTTAAAAGAATCTGTGATGGTTGTTCAGTTGTTAAAAGGAAAGGAAGAGTTTATGTGATTTGTTCTAAAGATCCAAGACATAAACAGGTACTAGTTTTCACTTTTGGGTGTTTTGGATTGATTTGAGTATAAAGTTCTGATGAAAATTGGTTTTGATTTTTCAGAGGCAAGGATAAAACAAAAATCGTATTCGATAAAAGAAACACCGTTCAAACCAAAAATTAAACAACAACTGTATAACAATCATGTTTTAAAGACTTTCCGGGTCATTCTCTAAGATTATCCGATCGATCTCGTCATCGACTTTCCGTTGTGTACCGCACTAGATCATCTCGAAATTTAATTACCCTTGGGACCAGGATATTTGGACGGAAGCACACTGGTTCTAAGTGAGCACGGTGAATGGACTCCAATGTAATACATGTATCTCAGATCAGAGTCATGTGTAGAAGCTAATGGCAGCTGATCAAATCGAATAAGGATGGGTAAAAAGGGTATTACATTGGAAAGAGGACAACAATTTAGTAAAATGAAAGTAATGGCAACTGGTTGAGTTTGTAAACCAAGAAATCTCTCTTTGCCCTAAAGTACTTTTATTTACATTCCTTGCAAGATTGAAATTGAGATGATTCTTTTGCAAAGTGAGTCTCTACCGATTCTTTGAAGCCCTAGAATCGCAATTTTGTTAAATAGATACGTGATGAACAAATTGAGTTAAACATTTATTGATCTCTTTTCAGATCGAAATGAAAAAGACAAAAAAAAGAAACTCAACTTGTAAGAGAAAGGTTTTCGAGTAGGAGAAAATTCACCTAATTTATGTCCAACCATTTCTGCTGTAATATTCACCGGAACATAATCCTTTCCATTATGAACTAATAATTTAAGTCTAAGCCAAAAACAAACAATCCAATCCAAATCAAAGATTATCCACAAAAAAAGAAATCAATCGAAAAATGATGACTGACCCTACGAAATTAGGTAGGATTGTACAAGATCTAGCTGATGTTCTGATGGCTGTGTTTGTACTCAAAGCTTCAGCTAGATTTGGGAAAGCTGTAAAGAATGGACCTAAAAGAAAACCAAAGGGTCAAGATTGATAGTTTTCTTGTTATTGTGAGAAGTCAAAAATGAGACTGACCTTTCCATGCTGATCGAGCTAAACGTGTTAAAGTTGGGTTCATGTTTTCATGTAAATTGATATAGGTTCGTTACTTGATCGATTCTTGATGGTTTTCTTGTTTTCTTGAAACTCTTCTGGAAATCTCAACGGATGGAAGCGCAGTAGACATTCGATATAAACATATCTTAGATGAATATAAGCATTCTACTAAGTCACCCTATGCTAACGCATCCACAACGTAGAACTTTCAAGCCCCCCGATTCTTTCTGCGACCAATGATCACTGGCATGATCTGGAGCTGGCAAAAGTCTCGAAGAGGAGCCAGCGCGTATATCTAAATGAACGACGAAGACCGCGCGTGATTGCGCGGAGAAACTCTAGTAATCATTCGAAATCACGCGCTGAATGTTCCAAAAAAGAGCTTCAGGAGTGGGAGTCTTTAATCTGAAGAGATTAGGGATCAGATATCAGTCTTATGATGGACTGATGTTTGATCGAAAAGAAACCACAATCTGAGGAAAGCGGAAGATTGAGGAAACTTGATAATGAGTTCGATTTCAATAAGAGAACTACTTTAGAAAGAAAACAACTACTAAGAAACTTGATAATGAGTTCGATTTCAATAAGAGAACTACTTTAGAAAGAAAACAACTACTAACACCTGAAGAGATTAGGGATCAGATATCAGTCTTATGATGGACTGATGTTTGATCAAAAAGAAACCACAATCTGAGGAAAGCGGAAGATTGAGGAAACTTGATAATGAGTTTGATGAGAAAAGAGAACAAACAAAGTGGAAACATGATTGGTCTATTTATAACTTGAACAACTCGAACTCATTACATCGCGTCATGATGTTAGCAAGAACCCTCATTGATAATGCACATTTATCTATACACGTCCTGCTCAAGAGAAGTCATTGCATGACTCTCAATTCCCCCCCATCTTGCTGACATCGTGTAAGCCTAAAGAATGGCAAAAGTTGAGATGCTTGCAAGGAGTGAGAGCTTTTGTCATTACATCAGCTATCATATCATTAGTTGGAATGTAAGTAACCGTGAGTTGTTTAGTGCTGGCTAACTCTTGTAGCCAATGATACTTGACATCCACATGCTTAGTTCGCCTTTGAAACTTTTCATTCTTTGCTAATGCGATAGCACCTTGATTGTCTAGATTGAATATTGGTGAACTGCGTTGACTCATCTTCATACCCTTCATTAAGTTGGTAACCCAAACGATATCCTGACCACCTTCGTATGCTGATCTATACTCCGCTTCCGTCGTCAAAGATGCCACACTTTCTTGCTTCTTACTCATCCAGTTTACCGTACTAACACCTAGCCTCGTAACATAACCCCCAGTCGACCTCCTGCTTACAGGACACACTGCGAAATCAGCGTCTGCAAACGCGTTCAATTCCAAATCCTTACCTCCTAAAACTAAACCAAAATCTTGCGTTCCCTTCAAGAATCGTAACACCCTTTTGAAGGCGATCCAATGAACAATTGAAGGACAGTTCAAGTGCTGAGAGAGCTGTGAGACAACGAAAGAAAGATCAGGTCGGGTCGCATTGTTGAGATACATCAATCGTCCAACAGCTCGTCTGTAACTTAAGCCTAGATCCAAAAATTCTTGATTTTCTTTTGCTGTTCCTGGGATTAAGTATGTATTCGGAATCATTGGTGAGCCTACAGGTTTGCAGTCAGTCATCCCGTAGTCTTTGAGTAAGTCACGGATGTATTGCTGTTGTGACAAGGTGATTGTTTTAGCCTGACGATTCCTGATGACCTTCATACCCAAAATGTATTTGAAGTCAATGTCGTCGTCCATCTAAAATTTCTTGGTGATGGCAGAGTGGAAGTGTTGGAAGTTGTTGGTAGCAATGATCATATCATCTACGTGAACGTGAACGATGCATCTCCAAGTAGGATCGTTAGACAAGAAAACACTGGGATCTTGTGGTGAGGGAAACAGGTTGATGGAGGCGAAAAAGGCTTTCAGGGTGTCATACCATACTTTCGGAGCCTGTTTCAAACCGTAAAGTGCTTGCCTGAGTTTGAGAACGGTTTCAGCTGTTGCATCCTTGATATTCAGGCCTTTTGGTATCTTCATGTAGATAGTCTCCTTTGGTGAACCGTTGAGAAACGCAGCAACAGCATCCATCTGATATACGTCTAGATCCTCAACTGCAGCAAGAGCACAAATGATCCGCATCGAAACAAGTCTGGCAGTTGGTGCATAGGTCTCGTTGTAGTCCTCACCGAACTGCTGTGAAAACCCCTGCGCACAAAGACGTGCCTTGTACTTAAGCAGCTCACCTTCTGCACCTAGCTTTTTCTTAAAGACCCAGGTGGTGCCAATTGCACGTTTACCTGCGGGAAGGATGACTACATCCCAAACCTTTCGCTTGTCCATGTTGTCAAGCTCAGCAGTGATGGCTTGCTGCCAGTCGGTTTTGTCGGAGGACATTAGAGCCTGCTTGTAGGTTCTTGGCGACGACACGGAGGTGGTGACTACGTTAGCTCTAGTGCGTCGAGAACCTTCTGGGAGAATGTTGAAAGTGTCGATATTGCTGGATATGTCGTTCGGTGCAACTGACCACACATGATAGTCCCAGCCAGGCTTGCGTTGTTGTGTGAGCTGCTCGATGATGTCTTCGTCATCTCCGTCATCTTCCTCTTCTACCACTGGATTGATTTCTTCCGTTTCCGGCTGAGGTAAGTTGTTTGGAATTGGTGTTGTTGATGCTTCGTGAGGAGTTTCAACGGGAATGGGTTGAGATGGTGTTGGAGGAGGAGAGTCTGGAAGAGGTATTTCTTCAGGTGCGACAGAGTCTTCTTCTGTTGATGAAGCGACCTCTGATGGTAGAATGATGTCGTCATTAAACAATGTGTCGAGGTTGAAAGATGAAGATGGATTTTGTCCTTCAATACCTGGAAACTCCGTCACGTTGAAAGTAACGTCATGAGAATAAACTATTCTCCCATCATCTAAATGTACCCTATAATTCTTGTGTCCAACTTGATAACCAAGAAAGATTCCTTTCATTGAGGTGTTGTCAAACTTGCGTCGAAATTGCTTTGGAATTAAAACGTAAGCACAGCAGCCAAATGGCTTTAATCAAGAGTAATCGAAGGAGCGACCAAACCATAGCTCATAGGCTGACTTATTGTTGGTGATCTTGGCTGGTGTGATATTCTCAAGGAAAACTGAAGTCATGACCGCTTCAGCCCAGAAACTGTAAGGAAGATTGGACTGTCGAAGCAAGGTCCTTGATTTTTCCGTTGTTGTTTGATTCCCTCGCTCTGCAACAGGGTTTTGTTGAGGGGTGTAAGGCGCGCTGAGATGAGACGTAGTTCCGTTTTCAGCAAGCAACTTCTGAAACTCCTTAAGCATGTACTCTCCCCCCTGGTTGTTGACCAAGCTCACAATCTTCTTGTTGTGAAAAGTCTCAACATTGTTCTTAAAGTTCAAAAAGCAAGGAAAAGTGTCTGATTTCAATTTCAAAATATACACGTGTTTGTAATTCGTACAAGCGTCGGTGAGTTTGAAATAATATAAACCTCCTCCTTCAGATGGTACAGAAATCTTGCCACTCAAATCGCTATGAATCATGTCTAAGGGGTGCTTTACAGAAGGGAAATGACCAGAGTATGGAAGTGGGTGACCTTTCGACAGTTTGCAAACCTCACAGTTCCAATCCTCTGGCTCAGAAACGTCGTACATCATCTTAAGGCGGCTGGACTCGGGATGACCTCCCTGTCTGTGGAGAGTCCTGTAGTCAGAGATGGAAACCATAGCGCGAGATTTGATAGTGAGATCCGACGTGCCTAAAACGATTTCAAGTTCAATTACTTGATTGCGAACATGACCAATGAGAGAAGCAGCGCCACGTTTCTTCATGATGATGTCGTCAACATAGCTTTCGATTTTGTAACCATTCATCAACAAGGCCCCCATACTGATGAGACAACAGCCCAAGTCGGGTACATGGAGAGCTGGAAGAATTAGCTCATCATCACCAGAGTTACACGTGATGAAGCCTTTGCCGATGATGTTGATGTTGTTGCCATTGGCCAAGACAACAGTGGAGGTAACTTCTTCATACTTATGGAAGAGATCTCGATCCGGAACCATGTGGTGAGAGCAGCCACTATCCAATAGGATGGAATCGTGCTCGGAAGAGAGGACAACGAAAGCTTTAGCCTCGAAGAATGGATCAACAGTTACAGCAGCAGCAGCTCTAGGTCGAGAAGAACTAGAAGGTCGAGCAGTTGTTGGTCGTAAGTGTGGATTGACTTGATAACATTCTTGTCGAGTATGACCTTTTGCTTCGTCGTTGTGTTTTCCGTTAGAACAGTAAGCTGTGTGATTGAATTTCAGCGGGCGTTGAGTTTGAGTTCGCTGAAGGGTCCTAGTTTGTCGAACAGCAAGTGCCACAGTGTTTGCGTGGGCTTCTTCATCCTTGATCGAAACCAATTGATCTTCGAGGTAATTGAGAACCTTGTCAGTCGTCAAGGGTCGTTCTTTGCGTAGCAGGGTTTTAGTGATGTCCATGGTGGACGGGAGCTTGGTGACGATAGTTTCACCTAAGTAAGATTGAGAGATATGACGAATTCCGTCGACTGCCAACATGCCGGCCAAGGCGTGTTGAGTATCAGTGATATAACCTTCAAGGTCATGGGAGAAGACGAGGTCCGTGAACTTTAAGTAAGCCCTAGCTTGATTCTTGTCAGATGAGGATTGAAAATGGTCCTTTAAGATTTTCCACATCTTAACAGGGTCCGCCACAGCATCCTTCGCAACGATGCGAATGCGATTATCTTGATCGATGCAACCGAACAAGATTCCTGCGGCCTTTTTCTTCTTGGTTTGATGGACTGTGAGTTGTACGGAGTTGTCCAAATCGTCGGATTTGGACAACTCCGGGGGGAACCGGAGGATTGTCGATGTTGATGAAATCCTCAAGATTAACCGTCATGAGATGGGCGATTACATCGCCAGCCCACTCGACGTAGTTGGTTTTGGCGAGTTTGGGGAAATGAGTTTGTGCCGAACTGGAATTTTCAGTCATGGTGATGAATGAAAAAGTATTTGATAATCGAAAAAGGATGTTTTTCGAAGTGAAATTTTATCGATGAAAAGATGAATCGATCGAAAATTTTGACTGGTAAGCGCTTTTTAGAGGAGCGCTGGGCTCATAACCAAAGAGCTTCAGGAGTGGGAGTCTTTAATCTGAAGAGATTAGGGATCAGATATCAGTCTTATGATGGACTGATGTTTGATCGAAAAGAAACCACAATACCTGAAGAGATTAGGGATCAGATATCAGTCTTATGATGGACTGATGTTTGATCAAAAAGAAACCACAATCTGAGGAAAGCGGAAGATTGAGGAAACTTGATAATGAGTTCGATGAGAAAAGAGAACAAACAAAGTGGAAACATGATTGGTCTATTTATAACTTGAACAACTCGAACTCATTACATCGCGTCATGATGTTAGCAAGAACCCACCACAATCTGAGGAAAGCGGAAGATTGAGGAAACTTGATAATGAGTTCGATGAGAAAAGAGAACAAACAAAGTGGAAACATGATTGGTCTATTTATAACTTGAACAACTCGAACTCATTACATCGCGTCATGATGTTAGCAAGAACCCTCATTGATAATGCACATTTATCTATACACGTCCTGCTCAAGAGAAGTCATTGCATGACTCTCAATCCAAAAGCTTTCGGGAATTTTTGCTCCGCGGCTCATGTAAGGCTCACATCTTTCTCTTGTGGACATCTAAGCCTGTGCGTTGAGGGTCCTTCTTCATGAGCCTTGACTGTTGAACTCATTTTCTCATGGGTTCATAATGCGTTACCAACAACTATTGACAAATGCTACAGAAAAATCTCAGGCTGGCTCGTATCTGCACGCTCAAACCTTCAAGTGAGTGAGTGAGTGAGTGAAGACCAGTGGAATCGATGACCTGACAGAAGGAATCCATATTTGCAATGAGATGATTTGAGTATATAATCTCAAAGGATTTCTCTACTTTTCTTTCTCTCATCCCATTCTTCCTCCTCAGTTTACATCTATCAACTTATTCTTTTTCGCATCAATAACTTAACTTTTGCTACTTTTCATCAATCCATCTTACAACATGAAAGGTTTGATTAAAACTCTGGTCCTCCTTGCAGCTTTCACCTACAATGTAGCTCAAGCTGAAACTTGTAAGAAGCAAGTTGACGTCAAAGAGTGTCAAAAGTAGGGATTTCTCTTTATGCCTATTTCATAGTCATCTCACCTCATCCTCCTGCACTTCTTTTCTTTATTTTCTATTCACAGGGCCATTGATCAAATTGGATACGACGCCAAAGGAAATGCTGTTAAAACTGTGAACAAACAAGTACTATCCTCCGGACACTGTAAAGTAAATCCTTCGTCTTTTTGATTGGAATATCTTGATTATGCATTTCTGGGGACCCTCTAGCTTGTTTCAACAATCACTGATTCATTGATTTCCTGTGTACTAGGTTACCATCCAAACCAAAAAAGGTGGTCCAATTTCAACGTAAGCTAGTCACTATTCATATTTGACCATCCAAACATGTTCATCGCTGTGGTTTCTTACATGGCCTTTTTCATAGTTCTGGAAGTGATCTCTCAAAGGCCTTGGATAGTATTGTCAATCGCAAAAATGGCGAATGCAAAAACCAGGTATGTTCAGTTCTTTTCTTACTTCAGCCTAAAACTCTCAAGCTTATATCATCCATTGTTTAGCCCGGAGTGGAGGACATCCAAAACCCAACTAACATCGCGGGTTTTCAACCGGCAACGTTGTTGGTCGAATATATCGAGGATAAACCTGCACCTGCAGCTTGTAAGCATGAACTCGACCCGAAAGAGTGTCAAAAGTCAGATCTTCTCTCTGTGCCCAATTCATTATTTATCTCACCTCATTTTCGAAGGCTTACTTTTTTTTCTGATGACCCTTCTATCTGTCTGCAGAGCCCTTGGACAAATTGGATACGATGCAAAAGGAAATGCTGTTAAAACTGTGAACAAACAAGTACTATCCTGTGGTTACTGTCAGGTAAATATTTTTTCTGCTCAGCTTTGATGGAGACTTTCTCGATCAAAAATTTCTGGTCTCATTGATTGACTGGTTTATTATCTACTAGGTTACAATCCAAACCAAAAAAGGTGGCCCAATCGCAAAGTAAGCTATTCACTACTCATCTTTGACCATTCAAACATCTTCGTCGATTTGGTTTCTTACATGGTTTGGTTCAAAGTTCTGGAAGTGGTCTTTCAGCAGCCTTGAATAAAGTACTTGACCACAAGGATGGTGAATGCAAGAACCAAGTATGTTCAGTTCCTTCCTTACCTCATCTTAGAGCCCTTAGGCTTACATTCTCCATTGTTTAGCCCGGAGTGGAGGGCATTCTAAACCCAACCAACATCAAGAACTTTCAATCGGCAACGCTCTTGGTCGAGCGCATCGAGGGTAAAGCTGCACCTTGTGCTTGAGCTTCCACATCGCTTGTTTCAATCCGACTTCAGATTATCGGCAGTGTTGTTGCGTGTTTTACTTTCACTCAATCATCCATGTGGCTCTGAACCTTTTGTAAAGCCAATATTTGCTTATTCGACCTTGTGCCCTTCTGTTTTCTGATTTTATCATGTGCTTCAAAGTTTTTTTGTCTCTTCCTTTATAACCCTATGAGTTAACACTGTGCTCCATAGTTCATTTGTTTTGAAGTGGCTTCTTATCTCCAACCTCACCATAGATGTACTTTTTGACTAGTGTATAACTCTTGGGCGTGTCTTTTATGTTTTCTATATATGACATCCTTTGCTATGTTTCGATTATGTTTTTTCAACGGACAATGCAGCATTCATGTTGCAAGTTGTTATCAAAGTTTTAGCCCTTTCCCTTTCAGACCCTACATGAACGCTTGCAAAACTATGCTTACATCGTGGATCCCAGCTTGGCAAGAAGAAAAACTTCGCTGATTGGTCTCTTCTTTTACCTCCTGTGCCCCTTCAAACTTCCAAGGATTTTTGCCTCGTATCCATACACTAAGATAAAACAAATGGAAAAGAAACTAGACTGAATGAGCTCACAAATATCACTGGTCTCTAGATTGTGTTTTAAATTGAGACCTTAGTACCATTAACCTTTCACACTACTGCATGTCACCTGCAATCTGACAGACTGGTGTCAAGATTTCACATTACATTGCCAAGTCAAAGAGTACTTTGTACCTCTACAGGCTCCAGAGAACAAGCAGGATGGGACGTAGTTCAGTGAGCACATTGTAAGTTCAATATATCAAGTCATGTCTATTCACCTATTGCACCACTCACCCCATGCAACAAAAGCTACACTGTTTCTGATGGCCAATGGCAGTGAAGGTTGGTTACCACTGGGCAACGTGGCAAGTGAGTTTTGGATTTGATAATTCAGTATTCACAAGTGTGGCATGGCGTGTGGGAATGCCGGATTCGATATGGGAAGGATAAGAAAGGCCAGAGAGATGTGGTATCAGTCTGCTACTGAGACTACCTGAGAAGATCCCTGTGGGGACCCAGGAAAGCTTCTATTGGGGTTTGTATCAAGAATTCCAACATGAAACACAGTAAACTCAGGTCAGATCCAAAAAGATCCAAATCCCGACCTTTTTTGTGGCACAAAACTCACTAAGACAAATGACAAGGGGATGAGCCTTGTGTGTGCACCATCACAGGGTCAGTGTACTCTGGGAATTGAGAGAGGCTCTTTTGGGTGGGCCAGATGGCCAAGGGGTCTTCATAGGTTTGATGTGTAGTAATACTAGAAGTGAATTTGGAAAAATAAAACAGCAAATCTTTTTTGAAAAGCTGTAACTTAACAATGTACGGCTTTTTTTTGCCTAAAATTGAGCCAAAATTCCATCCTTTTCCAATACAAACATTTTAGCAAAAATGGAAAATTCCAACCATTTTTGGGACAAACATAGGTAAAACCCACCTGAAATCTCAGGCCAAATCCCAACATTTTTTGGTACAAACCCCAACAGGAGCTGTCCTGGGTCCTCCCCTTGGACAACCATGGATAGTATGATTCTTCTTTGACAGGTGAGACTTGTTTTTGAGAAGCATGCTTTTTTCTTCTCTGAGCTTGTTGAATCACCCCAGCCTGTACAAGTGTGTTTTGTGTCATTGATGAATTCAAAATGTCTCTCAATCATATCTTGTCACATACAAACAAGTTTTTGGTAAGCAACAGGTCAATTTCTGTGCTGTGATGGTGATAAGGATCATTAAACGGATGCATTTTGCCAAAGAGATGTGACAAGAGATGCATGAGTTAAATCACAAAGAAGCAGATACATTGTAAGTACATAAGTAGTTTGCCTATTTAGGGATATGGAGACAAGTTTGAATGGATAAACTTTGTTTTGCAACACGCATACATGTATAGAGAAAATAAAGTAAAATAAAGAAATGAGGAAACTATGAAAAAGCATACCCATGATTAAAATACTGAAGAAGCAGGTACATTGTAAGCAAGTACATAGTTGGCTTATTAAATAATGATATAGAGATGAGTTTGACTGGATGAAGATCAAACTTGATTGGACTCATGGGCATCTTTATATACAAAAGCACAACACAGCTGAGAGTTCAGAAAAGCACACACTTTGGTAATGGAGAGAAATCTAAAAAATAAAAAGATGGACCACTCGCATGAGTGTCGGTCCTCCCTTCGGTCACTTTTGCATTCGGATTTCAGGTCGTCTTCGTGTGGTCTTTTTTGTTTCATCGCCTGCTGGCTTTTCTCCTCCTCGTACTACCCTTCATCTCCTTTTTGTCGTGCTTTCTGGATATCTCCGATGTCATTTTTATTGTTCCAACAAAGCTTTGTATGTCTGCAACAAAGCTTTTTGTGCTCGGCTTCTTTGTTTCCTACATGGTGGTTTCTTTGTCCGGAGCCTGCTTCAGACACTACATCGTGATATGATTTTATCCAACACTACGGCTTTCTGATCTTTGCATCAAAACTTTTCTTACTCACCTTTTCATCATTTCATTTTGGCATGTTATTGTGTGCTATTGATATTTTTTCCTCCACCTATTGCCCACCAATCGCTTTCCCTTTATCTGTGCTTTCCTTATGCGGCGTCGGACAACGGATGTGCTTATCGCTTATCATCTTAAACTATGTTGGGAATAATCGGTACCTCCGTTATTCAGTCCAAAATTAAGATATAAATAGACAGCATTTTGTTGCCTTCTTGATCTTGAATCCCCATTGCATCACACAACTCAATCTCCAATAACTGCTCATCTTCACTTTTGCCTTGGCGCCTGATTTCCTTGTAATTGATTCCCACCATTCTACTCACCTCCTCAATTATTCCACCAACCAATGTTTAATAATGCGACTGGGCTTGTAGCACCTCCTTTTGACAACGGTCAATTTCTAGACACTGTCTACTCTCAGTTCCAGCTTTGTTAGTCTAATTTTGAACTTCCCTTACATTGTTGTGATCTGAGTTTTTACATTATAGAGAGTCAGCCGTCGCATATTTTCATTTTTGAAACCGGTGTGGTTATGGTGATGTACGTGGTAGCGAATTATGCGTTTACTGTACGGTATTGAGGTACTCTGCTCAGAATCTGCGCTAATTTAGATATTACAGGGTATTTTGTACAGGCGATACAACTTGGACATGGCAACTCAAGTATTAATAGGGAAATGATGTACCAAGTTATAAGTCTAAGTATATTTACAAAAGCTGGTATGAGAAATGCTCTACATCAGATGTGGACATCAATCCCATGTTTAGTTATGATTATTTATTTGGTTAAGATGAAAGTTGATTGATGTTTCAAAGCTACTTAATTGTTTGAAATTTGTTTCAACAATCTCTACCACAATGTTTAAAGACAAGAAAGTTAATTCTGAGTATGTTCAGACGGTGATTGCTTTGACAAAACCTAAAATGGACTTTGTCATTCTCCACTTTTCATTGCCTGTCTTTTGTACATTTTGAGATTGTGTAGAAGTAGCGTTGATAAAGGTAAATTATTGAATGTTGAAGAGACGGTGAAAGTTGCTCTTACATAAAGAATTGAATTAAGAACAAAAAGAGGTAATACTTACAAATGATCATGATAACAAACTAAATTTGGATACTAGAAGTAGAGGTAGTATTGGATATAGATAATACTTGCATTTGCTTGAAAATGTAATTGTACAACATTAAATGTAGAGAAAAAGCCATTTGTACCGGACAGGGCAAAAGTGTACTACCAAGGTGAAAGGAATTGAGAATAAAAACAACTTATATGGAGAGTCAATTAACTAGCAGCATTCCCCTTTAGACAGATCCTCATTTGTCTTATCCACCTTTTTAAAAACTAGCATCCGTTCATCTTTTAAAAAACAACCCTCCAGCCTTCGCGCAATTGTTGTTCTTTCATCAATAAATTTTTGTAAAAAGTACAACTTCCAATCAATTTCAACCTAACAACAAATGGAACACAAATCTTACAACCTTGAGAGTGGTTTACTGAGCCGGAAGATGCAAGCACTATGCAAATACACCATAGACAATTTTGTTTTTGGCAAAAATTTTAGAACACTTCATTGAGGGTGAGTACAAATTATTGTATTTAGTTAAATCATGACTGACATTTTTTTTCAGAGACAAAGGGGACAAATTATCCTAGATATCAAAATAGAACTATCAAAAATAAACAACTCAATAGAAAATTCAATGTTTATATCAAGATTGATTCAGCTAGCAATATAAAGCTGATGGTAGGTCCAAACTAATTGAAACAAGGAGTCTTCTACTTGATTTGCAACTGATGAAATATTCAAGTAGAAGACGACAGAATTGAATTGGTTGCACAAGTTGGATTTATGACTGTTAGCTGATTTTTCTATGTCGTCCTGCTGGGTACAACTATTACTGTAATATGACTGTCTCAATGATTGCAATAAGCGAAGACTTGTTCAAAAGAGTGTACTATAAAATTGTATTTCCCAACTCTTGAAATGATATATTAAGTAGTTTGGTGGACAGAACAAACTATTCCTAACTTTCTGAGGCACTGGGTTGACCTATGCTCAAAATCAAGTTATTGGTTTCATAGTTATCCTTTGGTTTTGGACAGTTGATTTACATGTGTTAAAAGTTAAAATGGTGCGTAAGATGGTGCGGGCGCGCCCGCAAAGTCTCTAGTATATCAAATAAGACAAATAATACCCATGACAACATTACAAATGTTTCAGAAATAACAAATAGACACATAGTAGAATGAGATCACATATCCAATAATCCTACACAACTTGATTCACCACAATAACAGCATTCCCCAGTAGATACTTGACCACAGCATTGTTCAAAGTAATCTGTCATCCCAAGTACATATACATGTACCCAAAACTAACTTGTAATATAGTATTATCATATACAAACCTAATTACATATAGATACAGCCTATAGACAGTATGTAACATGTAACAAAAGACATGAAAATATTAACTACATGTACATGTACGCTTAAAACCACATGTAGCATGTAATAAGACATCATTTACACCTCATAACTCAGTGTCAAGAGTTAAAATGCTTATACTACATAATATACTTAGCATGTATATGTAATTAAGCATAATCAGTAATGATCATGCCAATCATTAACAACAAACCCTCAACCAACGTACAGTCGACTCTGATATAAGCGATATGTGTCAAACCCAATACTCTAGGAAATCTGATACTTTTTTGGTCAAATAAATTTTATCTGCGGTGAAATCGGTTGAAAACCCGATAAACCTGCCATATCCGATACCTGATACTTTTTTTTTGAGATCCCAACTTCAAACCCGATAATTTTGCCGGGCCATTGGTCTACAGT